ATATGTTTTATATATATTTTATTACATATTTTTATATACTATACATTATATATTTTATATATTATATATATTATGTATTATATATCTTTATATATATTATATATCTTTATATATAATATGTATTTTATATAGTATATATTTTATATATGTTATATATTTTTATATATAATATGTATTTTATATAGTATATATTTTATATATGTTATATATTTTTATATATAATATGTATTATTTATATATTTTGTATATATTATGTATTTTATATATAGCTTATATATATTGTAAATTATATACAGTGTCTCTTTTCCCAGTCCCTGTTTCCCCCAGGTAATTCCCTACACTTCTCCACAAACATAAATCAGGAATGAAGACCCAAGGGAAAAAACCAAAAAAAACCAACCAACCAAAAAAAAAATAGATCTTTTTCCCTTTTTGTGGCTCTGCAGAGATTCCCATTCCCAGGAGGATTCTTCCCAGAGGTTTGGGTTTTTCTGGATAATTCACATTCTCCTGCACTGCTCTCTTCTTTTCCCAGGGGTTTATATTTCCAAACATGCAGACTGCCTCCATCCCAGCCCCTGGCACCATGGAAAATCGGGATATATTGTCATTTGCAAGCTAATTAAGGTAAAATCCAAGTTTTTTTGGGGTTTTTTTTTGTATGGATTGGTTTTCAGAGGCCACTAAAGAGAACGAGTGGGTTTTAAGGAGACTTGTGGTGCCCGTAACTGGGGGGAGGGGGTGAAATCACATCCCACAGAGTCACACATTCCCTGGATTCTCCTGCATTTTGGGGGGATTGAGGGGGAATCCTTAAAATTGGTCAGACCAGAGCTCCATTTTATTCCACACTGGAGCTCGTGTGTGACCCCCTTCTCCAGTGATTCCTGGCTCCAAACTCACCCTGCTCCCATCTCCTCTGGATTCCTGGCTCCAAACCCACCCTGCTCCCATCTCCTTTGGATTCCTGGCTCCAAACCCACCCTTTCTCCCTTGTCCAGTGATTCCTGACTCCAAACCCACCCTTTCTCCCTTTTCCAGTGATTCCTTGCTCCAAACCCTACTCCTATCTCCTCCTGATTCCTGGCTCCATACCCACCCTGTTCCCTTTTCCTCTGAATTCCTGGCTCCAAACCCCCTCTGCTCCCATCTCCTCTGGATTCCTGGCTCCAAACCCGCCCTGCTCCCATCCTCTCCTGATTCCTGGCTCCAAACCCACCCTGCTTCCATCTCCTCTGGATTCCTGGCTCCAAACCCACCCTGCTTCCATCTCCTCTGGATTCCTGGCTCCAAACCCACCCTGCTCCTGTTTCCTCTGGATTCCTGGCTCCAAACCCACCCTGCTTCCATCTCCTCTG